CATCTGTATATACAGAACAGTTAGGATAGATATACAGCTACTTTCGCTTAATTCAATGAGAAGAAAGATTTGTACTAATAGTGTTTGGACAGGATATCCTGTCTGCTTCTCCTACTATGGATAGCCACTAAGAAGATAACAATGTACAATATATTAATTATTGAAACTGTCCTGTTAATCAGTTTTGAAACGGTCCCATTGCTATTTGTTTCTCAATTTTAAAAAAGGCTAAAATAAATGAGAGTGAACAGTGATGAGCTGCCTGGAGATGGCCTGACCACTGCTTTGTTCTCCACGCATCGCCAGAATCCTGGGTGGCGCAGGCCCACACTGTTTTACACCTTTAAAAATTCTTATTACACCAAGCTTCAGTTCCTCCAAGTCCAACCCAAGGCCCAGCTTATTTATTAAACCCGAGCCTCTGTGTGCAGAGGACTCTGGCTTTCTTGCTGTCTGACATAGCTTCAGCGGCTTGGTTTTGAGTATAAGTCCTCTGTGGGAAGTGACTGGGCCTCACGGCCTACACTGCGGGTGCTATCGGATGCCGTCTTAGCCCAGGCGTGGCCCAGCTGGCTGCCCAGCACTTAGGTTTTCTCCTCCTCCCTGAGCCCAATGCCCAACTCCCACAGCTTAAAGGAGGAGAGGTTTGTCCTGGCTCACGGTCCAGTCCATGGTCGGCTGGCTCCAGGGCAGGCTGGCATGGCAGAGGTGCATGGCTGAGAAGAGCTGCTCAGGCATGGTGGACAGGAAGCCAAGCACCAAGCGAGGAGCCGGGCAAGAAGCCCCTCTTGGTCACGCCCCACTGGTCTCCTCTTCAACCAGACTGTGCCTCCTAATGCTCCTAACAGCAAGTCAGCTATCGGGCCTCTGTAATCCAGTCACCTTCCATGGACCCCCCTGTGGGTGCACGAGGCTCTCGGGGGACGTCTGGATGTACACCATGAGACCAGCTAACTTGAGGATGCCCTGCCTGGAGGTGACCCAGGACCTTCAGCAGCCTTTCTGACGTGCCCTGCAGGGACCCCTGGGTGAGAGGAGTCTGCAGTGACGTTCTTGTCTTCTTCATACACTGAGGGCCTCTGCCACATGGAAGATGATTGTCAAAGAGCCTGATGTTGGCCAAGACCTAGGAGTCATGGTAGCTTTCACAGTGGCTCTGTGATCAGCACAGGGTCCTGCGGGGCTGGGCTGGAGCACCCTGTGTGTGGGTGTGGGGATGGCGGCAGAGGGACTCCAGAGCTGGGGCTGCAGGTAGCACCTACCAGCAGAAGGCTAGCTTCACAGCAGCAAGCTGGGCCAGGAGCAAGAACATCTCCAAGCTTCAAGACAAGCCCTCCTTATCTTGAAAGTAAGGATCCACTTCCATCCAGAAGTGGGGGTACTGCCAGATGGCGGCTCAATCCGAGCTTAACCCAGCCCTGAATGATCAGCACAGAACTAGCAGTGAGAACATCAACACTTTAATAGCGGACACTAGTGCCCCTGGTGGCGTCACCTGAACGCCCTGACACTTCCACTGCCTGAGCGATGCCAGCGGTACCCACGGGGCATGGGCAGGACAGAGTCATGGGCCTCAGAGCAGCAGCCCCAACAGAAGAAGGCTGGTAAGGGCCAAGGGGCCGGGGAAGGTTCTGGAGCCCGGGCTGGGCAGAGCAATTGGCGTGGCGTCCGTACATTCAATCTTCTGCAAGGCGAGTCCCTCGAAAGTCTCGTTTCTGGCAGATAGGAGCTCGCAGGTGGAGGTCCCGATGTTGGAGCAGCCTTTCAGCACAAGAGTCTCTGTGGCTGTGGGTTCAAGTCGGTGGTGAGGATTTGCTCAGTCCCCGTCCTCTACCCTGCCTGTTCTGTGCTTGGTCCTGCCCGCAGGTGACAGCTTAGTGACCTGCAAGAGCTTGTCTAACCCGAAACCCACATGGGGAAAGGAGCCAAGAGTACCAAAGAGCAGTGGAAGAGGGGCCTGAAGGCCAGGCCAGCACCCCTCCTCCACTGAACCCTGAGGAAACAGGCCGAGTGGTGGGTGATGGGCCCAAGCTCAAAGTGAAGCTCGGAGCAGGACCTAGGGGTCACACCACCGGGGCTCTATGCAGCCAGCAGGAGCGGAGCTGGGGACAGGTCCGGAAGGCAGTGCTGTGCTCTCTGCAGGAGGGGATTTGCACCTGGCCTCTCCCCGCCCCAGGTTTGCTGTCAGCCCCACTCCTCTGGCTCCAAATTCTACCTGTCTGAGTTTTCCCTCAGAAAAGGGAAATGCACGAAGGAGGGACCTTGGGCAAATCTGCTGTCTGCCTGAACTCCGAGTTGTGTTGAGATTGAGGTCCTAGGACAGGCTTGGGACACTTGCAAAAGCTGCCATCACAGCAGAACCCTACTGAGCAGCTGCTGTGCTCCTACTGCCCTGACAGATGCATCTCAAACAGCCCTGGGACACAGGAAGCTCTCAGACCACAGAGGAGACCCAAAAGACACTGTGCTTCCAAATTGCAGATAAAAAGCAATCTGCTGTTTCTGCTGGGGTGTCGCTGGGTACACCCCTAACAGCCTTACAAAAAGAGCTGACCTCAGCAAAAGCCAGCAAAAACAACCTCGTTGAGGCCGGCTTTGGTCTGTCTGCTTTCTACCTCGCCCATCTCTGAGGAATTCGCCACCCCTCACTCCAGCAGACACTGGAAAGGGACAGAGAAGGATCTTCTGTGTTGTTTTTGCCCTTGGACTCAGATTCAGAACCAAAAACCAAAGTGGTGTGGCTTCCCAGGGGTTTTAAGAGACCGAGGGACTTTTGCTGGGTGTAGTTTGGTGGGACAGACAGCGCTTAGCATGAGCAAAGCTCTGGGCTCAGTCACCAGCATCAAAAAGGAAAACCATATGGAGCCATAAATGTATTACTAGTGGGGAAAAGAAGCTGTTTCGAGAAGGCTGCACAGTGAGTACGGCTGTGAGACCCCCTGCAGAGGCACACGGTCCAGGCGGTAACCAGATGAGCTCCGGTAGGAGTGGGGAGGCCGAGGGCTTGGGAGGCAGCGAAGCTGCAGTTTGTCCGAACCCCTGTGGCTCATAATGGTGTCAACACAGGGTCATCGACTGTTTAGAATGTACCACTCCTGCGGGGTCATTAACAATGTGGGAAAATCATGCGGGCCGTGCAGGAGTAGAGGGGAAGCCCCTCTGTCGTGTAAACCATCTAAGCCACCTGTAACAACAAACTCCATTTTTAAAAAGAAATTTGCATAATCTCTTTGCTCTGTTGAAAAATCCATGATTACACCGAAGCCCTGAAAACTGGCTTCCAGTTGTCCTCGGGCGGGAGCTCTCGGGCTCTCATTACGCTGAGCTGAGCCTTAGCAGAGACTGACTGGCTGCTCTGTCGTAGGTTCCGCCTCACTCTCCCCCTGGGCCACCTCTAGACCATGTTTCTCTGCCTCCCACTCAGCCAGGCTGGCCTTGTAGCCCAGGGAGTGCAGGAGGGAATCGTGCAACTCTTCTGGCCGCTGCCAGCTGCCGCTTTTCCCTCCCTGCTGGCGAGATACAAGGGACGCAGGGGGGTCCTGGGTGGTCAGGACAGAGCTGCGGGATGGAAGTGACCCGTGCCCTGAGGGCCGAAATGGACCTGCATCAGCAAGAAACAAATGTGTGTCTGTTCCAGGGAGTCCTAAGATGCGGAGGAGGCAGAACGGATAGTACCCAGCTACAGCGCAGGAAAGGACGAGAGCTTGCACTTTACGCCGCGGTTTCACTTTCTGCGACTCCAGAGCTAAGCTGCCACAAGCCAGCCAGCGCTTTGCACACCAGGTAGGCGTCAAAGGAAATAAAGTCAGGCGTCCACACCTGCACAAGGACAGCAGCCTGGCAAAGTGGTGAATGCCAGCGGTCTGGCAAGGCAATTAAATAAGTGTGGCTTGATTTTAAGCCACAGGAGAAGAGCTCAAGAGAAAGGCAGCCGAAAGAAGCAGCTCTGCACCAGGAAGGCAGAAGCAGCAGCAGCCCAAGGCCTCAGTAACAGCCTGTCCCGCCAACATCTTGACCTCCTTGTCATGGCAATTCTGTGTCGTCCAGAATGTACAGCCCTGGGAAGGCTGACACGGCTTACACTCGAGCCCTGTTAGTTAACTGGAATGCCAAGACGTACCATTTTTAAATTGGGCGATGAGGTAGACACATCGTTCTCCTTTGTAACATTTCCAGGGTTTCCCGGTACAGGACGTGGTGTTCCACCCATAACAAGCAAGGCACTGGGTGTCGGAAAGATCTTCCTGTGGAGAATCTGGGCACAGGAAGAGTCATCACTCAGGATGGTGGGGCACTCGGAACGCAGCCCCGCTCGGGAGAGATGCTGAGGACGGGTGGTTGCGTCCCCGGGGATCTTGGATCCAGCCCTTGGCGCCCCGTCTCATCAGCACAAGACACACCGCCCTCACAGACCTCCCTGCAGACATTCAGCCTCTGGAGCGACGGTGCACAGGGCTCTGGGTCGCACCAGACTGACAGGAGAGGGCTTAGGTTCCAGCCAGTGCCCACCTGTGCCAGTCCCACTAGCCAGCTACTCTGAATGCTGGCAAACAGGTCTTTTACAAAATCTCAGAAGATGAACACAGGCCACTAGTGTTACAACTAGGTGCAAAGAGGACTAGAAGCTCTGCTCTGATGCTTTGGGACCGCGGTCCGCGAAGCTTGCGCATCTCTCCTTAAACAAGGATCTGTCCAGATCAGCAGTTTTCAAACTGTCTGGAGGGCCCTGGAGTGTCTGAGCCCCTGTGCAGGAAGCCTGAGCTCAGAACCACTTTCAGGAAAATAGAAAGACCTTCTTTCCCTCTTTTATTTCCTTTGTCGCATGTGTATGGCATTTTCCAGAAGCTGCGTGATGTGCGGACTGCGACACGCAGGCAAGTAGGAGGTCCCAGCTTTTCATTCTGCGCTGGGCTCTAAGGATCTCGGTGGAGGTGTTCCGCGTACGAGTGTTTCTGGTGTTAACGTGTAACAATTGTTACTTTGGAGTGAACTAATTGAGATCCATGGATTTCTTTTTTGTTTTTTGCGTTTTTTTTTTTTTTTTTTTGGTGGAACCAGGGATTGAACTCAGGCCCTTGCGCTCGCCAGGGAAGCACTTATTCTACTGAGCCATCTCCCCAGCCCCAGATCCATGGATTTCTTAGCGTTAGTTTCTAAGATGGTAAATATGGATAGGTTGAATCCATATCCCAAGAGTTCTTTGAGCTCCTCCATAATTCTTAAGATCGAGGGTTGGAAGAGAGGACCAGGGACCACATCTGAGGACACCAATGTGCATCTCCTGCCCCTCTGCACAGGTCAGCGCTTGTGACACTGGCCTTCCCTGAGCAAAGGGGAGAGCAGGATCTTGACCCCAGTTTGTGTAGGTCTGCTGTGTGTGCTACAGGGAGATGCCCTGCACTGCCTGGATCTGAACAGTCACACGAGGGCCAGAAGTGTGGGTGGTGAGTGGCCAGGGCTGGAGGACACAGGCGGGGCTGCCCACAACCGGCACAAACCTGAGGTGCTGTCGGTGGTATTGCATGTCTTTCCTTGGCAGCACTGGCTTGCGAAATCGAAGTGCTCTGTATCGGACACGCGGACGGTGAAGGATAGGAAGGCATCCGGGTCCCCACTGCAGTTGGCGGCCGAGCAGGACATGTCCTCGTACAAGCTGAGGGTTCCTCCTACGTGCGCGCGTGCGCACACACACACACACACACACACACACACACACTGTCAGGCCCTGTGTGGGCAGGGACCGGCAGAGAGACCGCTTCAACCAGAGGTACATGGCGCTGCCTCAACTCTGCAGCGCCAGACACTGCAGACAGAAAACTCCCATCAGAGACTCAGGTCGCCCTCTCACAAAGACTGCAGGAGAGCTGGCACTGTGGGCACAGGCTGGCACCCCGGCCTGTTAGTCTCAGGCTCTATGAGCTGAGTGAAGCTGACACACGGCTTTGTGTTTGGGAGAACACCCTGCACCGCCTCTGCCTCCCACTTGGATGGCGAGCAGCGTCAACTCAAGCTTTAGCCCTGAGCTGCCCAATAGAGTAGCTACTGCATGTGGCTGCTTAATTTTAAATCCCAATTCATCACAATTAAAAAAATTGAAATTTAAGTTCCTTTACCATATTAGCCCTATTTCTAGTGCTTCAGAGTCACATGTGGACACCATACAAGACAGAATGGACAGGGACATTTGCATTGCTCTAGAAAGTACTACTAGACAGTGCGAGTTTATTTATGAGAGACAGCAGGAAATGGATAAAAAGTTTAATGTCCCACAAGAGGGGATCAGCCAAGCCAGACATGGAAAATGGCCTCATTTCTCCCATCAGTTAATAGGACTAGACAAAAAAAGAAAAAGTAATGGGAACTATTACAAAAGAAATCAGCATTAACAGCTTTAGCATTAAAATGCAACGCGGGAATTGTGTTTTGGCCCTAACCTGACCCCATCAGCTATCTGCACTGTGACCTCTTTGACACAACTGAGGAATTGTAAAAAGGGCTGGGTGTCAGAATAGATTTAAGAATTGTGGCTGATTTCTTGGCCATGGTCATGACGTGTTAGTTACAAAAATGTTTCTATCAGCTGAGTACTGAGGTTGATGGCAGTGACTGCATGCGCACATGTGCATTTTCTTTAAGACGCTGCTCCGTCCAGGGGAAAGGCGCTGACTGGCTGGGGCCCAGTTCTTCTAAGAGCCGCTCTTGCTTCTCACACCCACCCGTGCGCGTGCAGAGGGAGGTGTCAGGCGGGGTAGCAAGGTGCAAGGCACCACCGGGCCCTGCCTGCTGTCCTGCCTGCCCTGAGATCCCACTGGACTCTCGAGAGCCCTTCACAGCTCCTCTGTGCAGCGCACCCCTGCCCCGGCCCCGCTCCTCTTCAGCTCCCAGTGAGGTGGAGGCAACCCCTTCCTCCCCACCGCCAGCAGCTCACCCAGGAGGGAGTTGGACCAGGAGCTGACACAGCTGTGGGCCTCCTCCAGAGGACACTCAGAGGCACTGACGTTGGCACAGGGCTTTGTGAATGAGTTGCACTGAACGCAGTTCAGGGATTCTGAGAAGAGAGACATCAGCCTGCGTCACCACACAGCAGACACGCATGGAGCGGATGCTGGGCGCGTGCTTGTGCTCACAGCTGGGCAGCTGTGCAGACGGGCTGGCACTTCTGCCTTCTGGATTCCCCAAAGTGGATACTATGCGATGGGGCTGTGAGGACCTGGTGAGGAGCGAGTGATTAAACTGGGGGACAAGGCACACAGGCACCACGAGGAAGGAATGGTTAAAATACGGGCAAGAACACACAAAGAAATGCACTGCAGGGCAAGAAGGGTACAAGATCTGAGAAGCAGATGATTAAACTGTGGGACAAGAGCACCCAGGCTGTGGGAGAGCCCGGGGTACCGAGAAGCCTGGCCTGGTGAAGCCACTGGCTTCCCGCTCCCACGAGGCCGCCTGGAGGCAGCTCTTGCCCAAGCTGCATCCTTCTCCCAGCTGAGAGTCTGAGCAAGAGCCAGAGAGTTCGTGGCTCGGGGGCTCTTTCTCCTCCAGCCTCCCTGGCGGCTGGGTGCTCTCCGTGCACAAATAGCCTCTCCGGGCCTCGCGGCCTGAGCCAGATTTTGTCTCGTGATAATTTTCACACCACTGGTGGTGGCACACCGTGACACAGGGTCTTGGCCACCACTTCCTCCCTTCTGCTCACTGTTCCCCAGCAGGAGGAGCCAGCTGGACCAAGGACACACAGCAACCTCTGAATGTGTCTTGTCATGGTCTCTGCTGACCACACCATGACCCCAGTGGCCTTGGGAGGGGCCCCCAGGACACCAAGAACAAACAGGCTCCCGTGAGGAGGACAAAGAGGTCTCCATTCTGGCGGGGACTGAGTGGTTTCTCTTACCTACAACTGGGCTTGCCAGCGCTGAGATGAGCAAAGCAGCGAGGAGGCCTCTCATGGTGCCGGAGTGACTTCTCTCCCGGGGAAGCCTGCAGCCTGAAGGGCCTGCAGAGACACAAAGCAGGCAACCCCAGAGGCTCGCAGGAAGTCCTGTTGCCCCGAGGAGTCCTCACGCCCAGCAACATGCTCAGTACCCGTCCACCCATGTGACAGGAAGAATCCCAACCTTCCCGAGAGCACAGAGCTGCAGTCTAGATCCACCCGCCCTACACGACGTTTGAGCTTCCTACAGAAGCTGCAGGCTTCCTGCAGAAGTCTCCATCACAGTCTGGAAACGCAGCTTGGGCCCCTTCCTGTGGAGGCCTTCCGCTGTAATAAGGACAGTAGGCCAACATCCAGCGCCACTGAGGATGATTTCTATTCCTGGAACAACATCAAGGAGAGTCAGGTCTGGGCTGCTGGCTTCACAGGTTTAGGTCGGCGGCCGCCTGGCCGCATTTCTCCAAGCCTGGGCCACAGTGTATTATAGCAGAAGCATACAGAAGGGCAGGTCAGGAGCAAAGCGGAAACCCGGGAGGTTGCCAGGGTCCCCCATGTCTGTCCTGTCACACCCCCGATGACCTCACTTCCTTGTACCAAGCTCTGCCTCTGAAAGGTTCCGCCCCTGCCAACAGCAGCACCGGCTGGTGACAAACCTTCAGCGTTCATGGCTCTGTGCAGGCATTTAACCCCCAGCCATGCAAGCTCCAAGGCAGCAGGGCTGCTCTGGGTCCACGCTCCCTTCTCCTCTCTGAGCACAAAGTGCGTCCCGCAGCTGGTATCTCCATGCATGCGCAGTGCTGCTCAGGGGTCTGTCACCACCACGGTCTGCAGACACCTGCTGAGCACTTGCTGCATTCCCAGCCTGCAGGTGTGTTGCTTTCGGCCTCTCTCCCTCCTCACC